CTTATTACTTTTATTTTTTTGACAAATATGATTTGTGACATTATGTATTTTAAATATTGCATGATAATAAAATTTTAATTTGTTTATTTTTTAAATATAATTTGTTTATTTTTGTTAGAGAATAAGACAATCAATAAAAGATAAAATTTAAAATATTTTTAAACTTGTTTATGTTTTTTTAATTTTTTAATTTTATTACTTATATTATTGATTGCAAAATGATAATATGAATTTTTTAAAAATATCTTAAATGAAAACAGTATTTTTAAAAAAATTGTGTTGAGAAGAATTTTCAAAAATAATGCCAAACGTGATTATTTTTAAAAATAGAATACAAACATCTTGTCATTTTCTATCCAAACAATCTAGTTGGAATTTAATGAATTATTAATTATTTAATAATTAATAGTTAAATCTATTATTAGTTATTTAATAATTAAACAAGCTAAAATTTAACTTCTTCAATTATATAATCTGCTAAATTTAAAATTTTCTCTTATTCTCCAACAAAATTAAACAAATTATATGTAAAAAGAAAAAAATTATAAGTTTGTTATCATGCAATATTTAAAATATACAAGGCCACAAATTATATTTACCTAAAAAATAAATAAATAAAATATGATACATTTGAGTTAGACTTTATTAATTAATTTATAGAACAAATAAGTGAAAATATTTAAAAAATTTAAAAATATTGAATAGAGTGATAACGGATAAAAATGGGATTTAACATTTTTTTTTATTCTCTCATAATATAAACTTCCAATTTTACCTTTTAATTTTACAGTGAGCATACATTTTTTATAAAATTGAAGTGTTAAATATTAATATTATAATTTTAAAATATGAAAGGCCAAAACTCTTATCTTTCTATTACAATTTACAAATTAATCAAGGATCTGAGAGCAACAAATGAGCGACCAGAAAGCAACAAATGAAGGCAGTAATAAACCCAATTTAGCCACAGCATTGATGATTTACCCAGCCCCCCAACTCCTGTACCATAACGTTCTGTCTTTCAAAACTTAGATTTCGTTCTAGATTTACAGATGCACTAAAATTTCCTCGAGAATTTTAAACACATTTCCCAAAATCCTAATGTTGATTCGTGCTTTTAACAAAGGGAAGTCAGCAACTCAATAGTAGAGGACTCTCTTCCTTCCATCCCAGTCCAGTCCCTCTTTTTCAGTGGAGGGTTTGGTTTGCCATGCAAAATTACCCAGCAGGCAAATAAATAAAGATCTCTTCAATTTGTAACTCTTTTCACATGAGTGCTGCTTTATACACACACCACATTAATATTTTAATTTTATTACTTAATTTCTTATTTTAATTTCTTCTTTTATTTATATCAATGTCTAATATTATAATTTTTTATATAAATTCTTATATCAAAAATGATATATAGAATAATATATTTTTAAAAATATGTTTAAAAAATAATTTCTCAATTAATTTAAAATATTATGTCTCAAAAATATTTTTAATTTAAAAATATGTAATTTTGGATTCAAAAAGAATGGGGTAAAGTGTGTTGTCGGATGGAAATTGTCGCTCTTTCTCAGCCCAGACGTCAGGGCTCCTTTCCCGTATCTCTACTTTGGGTCAAGCCCAGACCAACATAGTTGATCCCAGCTACTCTTGTATCTCTAACTCCAAGAGGCAGAGACACAAGGAAAACCAGGCAAATCATTTCTTGTCTTTTTCAGAAGAATTCACCACAATTATATTAGAGCAGGATGAATTGATATTATGGTAAATGTGAAATATTTAAATTTAATTTTATATTATTAATTTGATCCAATTTAATAAATAAAATTAATTACAATTATCTTTTAATATATTAATTTATAGTTATATTTTTTTTAAAATATTAATTAAACTTATTAATTAATTTTAACTAAATTAACAGTATAAGATTTAGTGTAAATATTTTTATACTTATACTGATATCAATTGATTTATTATATATATATATATATATGTAATAAAAAAGTGGTCCAAGAAGAGTATTATATGACAGTAATATAGACAATTTCTCTATCTTCCTTGTTAAAAAATTTGTTAACTAACAAAAATTTCAAATTTCAAACAATCAATATATTATATGAAATTGATTAACCCAAAAACAAGCATCTCAATCAATCAGTAATTTTTGATTTAAATCATCTACCTCTTTTTATCAATTAGTTTCTTAATTAATAAATCAATTCCTATATGTCCTAATCAGTCACACCCTTCCTCAACTCAATTTTTGTTATTTAATACTTTAAAAACTCTTTTATCCTTTTTGGCCTCATTTAGATTGGATAGTAAAATAAAATAAAATAATCTTATCTCATCATACATTTAGTTTGTACGTAATAAATTTGGACAAAAACCATGAAAATGATATATATCAGGCATAAAAAAGGTTACTATTATATGTGAAGAGGTATGATATACAATTACTATTATATGTTTATCCCTCTGTATTAGAGAATAAAGAGTCTTTTGTTTGAACAAAACTATTTTTACTATTCGTATGCACATTGACCAAAGTTACCATTGCTCTATTTCAAATTACACAAACTTATTCATTCTCTTTCCCTCTTCTTCTCTACTACTCGTCTAAATCATGCAACCTAGCCCTCAAATTGCCAGATGATCATCGAGCCACCACTAGACAACCCATCGCCACACTGACCAGGATCCTTTAATGCATGTTGCTCTCTTCATATCCTTATCTCACAATCGACTGTCACAAGCCATATAGTGCAGCTCAAACAAACTATCTGGTATTAGGGGGCGTTCATGGTTTAGTTTGGTTTTGTTTGAGATTCAACTCTAAATCAAAACATATCCCGTGATTTGTAATTTTTAGAAATGAAATCATATGATAAACTTTCAAGAATCAAACAAAACTAAACCATAATTCATAGTCTAGTTCGGCTTGAAATCATGGTTTGTAAGTTATCCACCAAATATTTCACATCTACGTAATTACATATTTGTAGTAGAATTAATTAAATTAAATAATTAAAAAGAATAGTCACTAAAAAAGTTCAATAAATTAAATATTGACGTTGTATGTTATAACTCAAATTACAAGATTATTTGAAAGATTCAGAAGTTTGGAAGACCATAAAAAAGAACAATAAAAAAGAAAAAGGAAAAGAGTATAGTGACTAAAATGATAGAAGAAAAATAGTAGAGGGACCAAAACAAAAAGAAAAGAAAGTTAAAGAATTAAATTGTAAATTTAAACATAGTTTGCGGTTTAATTTGATTTATATAATTCAATTTGATAGTTAAATTATAAATCAAATTACGAAAAAAAAAAATTTAAACTAAACTATAACTTATATAAAACTAAACTAAACTATAATTTAATTTGATTTAATTTATTTAATTGATTTATTTCGGTTTAATTGGTGCCCTTGTTTGATATCTTTGTGACTATCAACCCAACTAGAGTATCCTTCAACCTCCTCAGCTTCAACAACCACCGTACGCTTCGCGGCTACTGCAAGTCTTCTGTTACTCTAAACTCGCACCTACTCATATTCATGCTTGATTGTCCATCCTTTTCACATATAAGGCATCCTATGAATAATATAAATGGAAGCGATTGAGTAGCCAATTTGGGCTTTTATACAAGGTGACCAAAATTTTTTTATAACCAAAAAGTTTTCGTTTTATTTTTTATGTCCAAGTTAATTGAAAGAAAACAAGAAAACAAGGTGAATGAAATTGTTACCACCAAGTACTTGATATATTTAGTCAACCAAATTTAGTAAAAATGCATTGAACGCATTGAATTTCACTTCTCACTTCGCCATTCGTATTTCATGATATTCCCTACCAAACGTAAAACTTACAGTTGAAGTGAATGAGTTGCAAGAAGCAAAACCGTATTCTCTTTCCACACAAGTATTTACCAAATAAGTTCTTATCATGCTTCTGTGGTTAATCAGTTATACTCTGAATCCAAACATAAAGAAGCTATCCGAGATAATTACTTTGTTAATATATCACCAATAAAGTGTGCAATAATAATAATAAAAAGATATAAATTTGCCTTGAAGATATACGCGTGAAAAAAGTCCACACCCTGATACGCCCAGACATCTCTTTTTTTCTTTGGCTTGGTGGATTAGAAACCAAGGAAAAGAGGATTACAGGGGATATATAATGGCTAAAGAAGACAGGCAGACAAACAAACAAACAAACAAATCCCAGCAACTTAGAAATTAGAAGCTCCAAAGCTTATGCAGAGAGAACAAAACAAGGAGTTCTATATTCAATCTTGCAGCTAAACTGTTGGGTAAGATAAAAATGAGAAAATGGAAAAACTATGGCGCACAATCAGAACACAGCCGGACTTCTCTTCATTCCCAACCGTCACTTGCCTAGCAAAATGACCAGCTCCCCCCAATCCCAAAGGCCAAAAGGGAGAGACACAAGGCAGAAGGTAAGGACTCAACGAAGGGAAGCTATTCATGCATTATTTAAGCCCTGCGTTAATTTTCATGAAAAAGCTTTCATATCATAGTAACAATGAACATAACTTGGTAGCATCAAACAGAAACACGGGGCAACTAGACAAAGACCAGAACTAGACCATAAAGCACTTTAGCTTCTAGATGAAAATATCAAGTAATTTAACATGTTGAACATCTATAATATGTCCAACCGATAACCTTCCAAAATGCTCATATTCAAGCTGTTTTCAGCCCACCCTTAGCAGCATGTAAATTTTTCCCACTAAAATTATCAAAGAACCTATTTATTTTCAGAAGATCCTAACAATTGGCTACTGAGGTCATAACTAGCTTTTCTTGGCTTATTGAAAAGCCAAGCAGCGGCTCAGTATTTCTGGCTGCAAACAGGCTAGAAAGCAACCAGCACCAGATGTCTCCAAAGAAATTTACTTGAGGCTCATGTACCACATAAAAGAGCAAGGAGACCAACAAAATAACAGGGGCTAAAGATGATCACCTTGTTCTTAATCTAACCCAATAGAACAATTCCATGCCATAACCCAAAGCATTCTGAAAAAGGAACCAGTATTAAAACGAAATTTATATGGCCCCATTCTTACACAAACTTGGGATAAAGGAAAAACATAAAATGACAAAGCACCATTTTCAAACATAAGTTGAGATCTTGTCAAAAGAAGTTTAACCGCATAATATAAACATACAAAAGCTTGAAAATCTGCCAAGGACATTTACAGATATTCCACAGAACTTGTGATTATGCGCATTTAGATAATTTAGAGAGAGAGAAGAAAGCAAGTGCAAATACACACAGAACAGCGGGTGTAAAGGTAAGTGAAATAACTTTTCCTAATCCACTCATACTTATGAAAATTTAATACACAATCATGAAAATAATCATCTAGATGTTACCATGACACCAACAAGAGAACAAACACTACATTTTAGAAAGCATCTTGTAATAACTGCTCACCTCATACTGATCATTTTTGTGCCAATTCCTACAATAAATCCAACTTCTCCAATCCTTAAGAAAACAAATCTTATGGGCAAGCACAAATGGGATAGCATTTCAGAAATACCTTTTGCTTAATTCTAGTAAACCATCACTGCATAATAGAACTAGAGAGGAAGATACCAAGGAGCATCTGCAAATCTACCATATGCCTAGATGAGCATAAGAAGTTGAAATAATAATACATAACAACTCAGACAGATATATGCCCAATTTACCAAGAAGAAGAACTTTCTCTAACTGAGATTTCTTAATAGCAAATAATCAGAGCACTGTTCCCTTCACTTTTATAGCAAGTCCAAGAAACTGTGCAGCATTCAACTGGAAAAAGTAATAGTAATTACAAGTAAATGCCAATATCCTATGCACATAATAAACCATGTAGGCCACTTCAAAATAGAACCAATACATAAAACTGTAAAATGTTGATCACTCTGTTATTATCATTCTAACCATTATAATCAACAGCACCAATCACATTACTCATTCACCAAATTTAAGAAAGACTTGCATAATGAGGACAAGACAACATATTAATGCTTGTAAAATAATTATTACAATTACCTTCACAAAAATGCACCATGATTGTCTCAAGTAATTTGACTAGGTCATGCCTATATGAGTCAGATTAAAATCACACAAACTCTGGCACCATTAATCTAATACTTAAACAAGATGGCCTTTTGGTCATTTTGTGTCCTTGCAGGGAAATGAAAACAAAAAACAGCAAGCAACATTACACTATTTCCTCCAAGCCATTTATCCATTGCCTATTCTTTTTTTTTTTTCTTAGATTTAGTTTCACAAGAATTATTCCTTCACACCATTAGTCAACTACCACTACTGATTCAGGAGGTTTTTTAATTGTTTACCATCAGGATCTAGTAAAAACTAAACAGCCTTTTGTATGATTCAACAAAATATTCTAAGATTGACTAAAGACAGACAGACAGAAGAATCCCTCATTCTGCTGTTTGGTTGTCATTGTTGCATCACTATTCAGAGGAGGTTCAGGATAATAATGAATTAGTTTCTGAAGGCCAGTTTCATGATCTTCTTTTGAACCTGGTTACATTAAATATAGAATGGAAAGAACACCAAATACCTATTTTGCACCTTCCAGTCCCTTACCTCAAGAATGCAGGATGAGCATAAAGAATATTGAGGCCGCAGAGAAATTTGGAGAATAGATTCCCCTAGAAAGGAGATCGTACATCAGTTAAGCAGTCAAAGAGGGATTAAATTTATTTGCTGCAAAAGTATATATAATTAACAACTAGATTAACGCAAGAAAATGGCACCATTTACTCTAAGCCATTCACCATTACATCCATACGAACAACACCACTACTACAAATACAACAAAAAGAGTCTTCATTCACTCGGCATCCTTAACCTTGTCATCCACGGGGGACATTAAGAATGGGCAAACTGTTCAAAAATTCATCAAGTCCCTCAAAAAACCCAATTCCTTCTATGCCATCCTCCTCACCATTGCCAGCTCCATTTGGACCATTTCCGTCCCTCATGTCCAGAGGAGGCTCTTCCACCTCATTACTAAACTCCACATTCAAATCCAACTTCCCCCATTCTTTTGGAACTTTCCCTGTTTGCTTCTTTGCACTATTTGCTGCAGTTTTCCTGCTAGTCTCGGCAATTGGCACATTTGGTCCTCCTATAACCTCTTGCATTACAGGCCCATCTTGTCCATCGTCACCAATGCTCCCTTCAACAGTCTTGGCCTTCTCCCCTTGGGCATTCTTCACAATTTTACTTGTAGAGTTTTTGGGTGGCCTACCACGTCTACCCGGCCTACCGTTCTTTCTTTTGGTCTTCTTCTTTCTAGGAACACGCCGCCATTCATCGTCAGATTCATCACTTGATGATGAGATTTCCATAAAAAGATCATCATCATCAATATTAACCTGAGGTGTAGGGCTCTTCTTTGTCCCCGCATTTGCATTTCCCTGTCCTGCAGTATCCATATTTCCGTCCCCAAATTGAGGAAGAGTAAACAGGGGGGAAAACGGGGTCCAACTAGAAACTGCACTCTTATTTTCCCCCAAATTCGAGACTGCAACTGGGAAAAATCCCCAACAACTGAAGTACGCTCCTTTGCCCTCTGCAATTGATGGTGGCGCTGGAATCTTAGTACCGTGGAATGCCCTTCGACAATTTTGACAGCGAAGTGAGCAATCCACGTAAACCCCAGGATATTCATACATGTGGTAACAATAGGGGCATGCAGTCCAAAATGTCGAATTTTCGTCATGATTATTGGGCATTTCACTTTCCTCAGCTACATTTCCATCATTATTATCAGCATTATTTATGTTAACATTGCTACCGTTCCTAGGGCTTCGTTCCGCAGCTTGTTGCTGTCGCTGCTGCCGCTGCTGCTGTCGCTGTCGTGGCTGTTGATCTTGTTGTTGTTGTTGTTGTTGCTGCTGCTGCTGCTGTAGTTGAGGTTGTTGCCGCCGTTGATGCTGCTGCTGTTGCGGCGGTGGTTCTTGCACATACTGGTTTTGTTGCTGTTCATGATATTCTTGCCCACGGCTCATAGCCAGGTCAAGTTTCGAGTAAAGGACAAGATCATTATCGTAGTAAAATTTTCTAGAAGGATCGGAAAGGACTGACCAAGCGTCGGAGACGAGCTTCATTGCATGATCGGCGAAGGCCAGGTGGTTCCGGCTAGGGTTCAGGAGGAAGGCAAGTTGCCGGTACTGAGTCGCGATGAGCTCCGAGTCGCGTGTGTAGCGTGCCAGCTGGAGTATTGCATACCAGTCATGCTGGCTGTTGATCCGCTTCTCTCCTGCGATCAGCGTGTCCACGACGGCCAGTATCTGGTCCGCTGCCTCGAGTCGCGGCTCCGAGTCTCGAGCTCGGATCGCAAATGTCTTGCTCCCGATGAGGTCGCGGCCGGCAAGCAACTTCTCGGCGATGCCCAGCCACCGCTCGGCCTCCGCTCTGCTGCTGCTACTACTGTGGATGTGGAAATCCATTCTGTCTACCGTCCCTCTCTTTCTCTGTCCAAGAATCTCCGTCTCTCTCTCCTTGTGTGGAATTTGAGGTAGGAGAGGGAAAAAATGGGTGGGGGAATGGGGGCTATATGTTTTCATCGGACGTATAAGGACCGGTATTCTGTGGCAGAAGGCTGGGACGAGGTTGACCACGTGGCGATGTTACGTGGGCATCTTGGTAATTCTATAAGCCCGATTCGTAGGTTTCTTATCCGCTTACATTTTGCGAGTGGCATGGCACTCCCATTTTATACAAAGAAGAAATATTATTTTAAATTAATTTGCATTTTTAGACCACCGTACCATAAAAATAATCTTTATTAAGAACTTTTATCTTTAATTTTGGGTAAAAAATCTAGTAAGTTTAGAAACCACCGGGAGTAAAAAAAAGTAATTTTTTAAAAAGATAATACAAAGAAAGAAAAAAGAGTAAAGTAAGAGAGAGAAAAAAAAAGATAACTTTTAATGTAAAACACTCCAAAATTCATGCTTTGACTTTTGAACAAAATGGTAACATCTGATAAAATTTAAAAATATTTTTCATTTTATTTTACATTGCCCCTTGTTTAGTCTCTCCAAGGGGTCAACTTTTTCACAGACGGGCTGTTCGGATGGGCTGCGCACGTTGGGTATGTGTGAAATGAGGCGTGATAAAAATTCAGATAGCAGGCTTATCAGTGTAAATATAAAAAATTTATCTTAGGGTATTAAGTATGTAAAATTTTTTCACGCATGTAAATCTTTTTTGAACAATTTTACCCATGTAAACCCTTTCCTCTCCTCACCACCGTCGACCTCTCCTCTCCTCATGCCATCGCCCACCACTCTCCTCTCCTCACTCCGCTGCCCGACGCTCTCCTCTCCTCTTCTTACACTGTCGCCTGCTGCTTTCCTCTCCTCACGCCGCCGCTTGCTGATTTGCAGGCGCTCACGCGGGCACCTGCGGATCTGCGCACTGCGTTGGACGACGCACAATTGCAAGCGCCCGATCTGCACGTGGGCCAGTCACCGACTGTTGAGCAGATGGGAGGAGAAGCCTGTGAGAGAAAGGGTAATTTGGTAATTTGATTTATTATCCGGATTGTTATCAGGCGAACTGAACGTGTGATAAATACATGGTTACTATACAAACAGAATAAATTTTATCCTATCTGCCCTATCAACCTATATTTTATCTCTCAAACCGAACACTCCAAAGTTGAGTAAAAAGAGCTTTTCAACTTTTGATAAATGACTTTTCAAAATCAAATTCTTAACATTAATTTGCAATGAAATTATAAAACTAAAAAACATTGAAATTCTCACTGTCAGTATCTAAACGGTTCTTTAATATGTGTTGGTTCTTTCTTCTTTTCTTTGTTTTGAAAAAATAATTATTCGTGATATATATTTTTCTAAAAAATTATAATATATTTGAATCATTTTTAAAAAAATCTAAAATATAAAACAACCTATATATATCCTATGATTTTTGGGACAGGTGTCTAAGATTATCTTGTAAGTGAAAATCACATGTTGGATGAAATTCATTTTAGTTATTGCAAAAATTGTTTTAGAAAATTTGAAAGTTATGTTTCCTGAAATATTTTATGTCATATTTAGAAATAATTATAATGAAAATGGCCCCAAAAATTGTTATGAATGTGAACATAAATTGCACTTAGCGATGTCTTACAAGAATTATATAGTTTTACTTATTTGGTCTCGAAACTTTACCATGAGTTTCACATAAGTCACCTAATTTTAAATCATTCTAATTGGGTTATCCAATTTTATAAAATGCTAGAATCAAGTTTATTCCGTTAGCTTTCCGTTAATTGCAGTTAACCAAATGCACATGTGGCAAGAATTTGAAATCTAAAATATCAAATAAATATTTAAATCAATTTTCACTAATAAATTATTCTTTTAAGACCCTAAACCTATTTCTTCTATTTAATTATCTCCTCCCTCCTTGTCGGCCACTGGCCTCCCGTCCCCACTTCGTAAGTGTTGATAATGCTACAATGCGTTGTAAAGGCCACAACTGAGCGGAACGCACGTATTATATTAGGAACAATGGGAACAGTGGGCACCATTTCTAAAAGTGATTGTATTGGAAGCACGTCACCTAGGGGACGTTTGCGCGTCCTTGTCAACAGTGCAGTTGCAATGTCCAACACTGCTTTTAGTTTACAAGGCATCTGCAAATTAATATTTATATTTTATTTTTATTTTTATTTTTATTTTTTAAAATTAAAAAAATTAGATGTAACAGTTATTTTTTTTAGTTGGATATTCGTATTTTTAGTTTTAATAGTATAATTATACATAAATAAAAACTATTTTAGAATCATTTTTAAACAGTTTAACTTTAAAATATCTAATTTTATTTTTAAACTAGTCTCATCTTCCACTCGTTTCTCCTCCTCTTTCTCTCTCTATCATGACCAAATTAGATAGCCACAGCTCCAATTGTTGCTCACAACACCACTGCATGCGCCAGTGGCAACAACTAAAAAAATTCTTGAAATGGAAATCATTGAGAAACTTTTTTTTAAAAAAAAAAAATATACATGAATAAAATTGTCATTTTACTTCTACAAAAATTTTGATCATTATTTCACTAAAATTATTTTTCAAAATACTATTTTATTGATATTAAAATTTTTTTTACACATTTTACAAACATCTCCTACGTTTTATTAAATCAATTTTTACTCACTTTTACTTTAAAAAGAAAAACCTACAAAAACTGCTTAAATGACCCAAATGAAAGTCAAGGCAAAATTTAGTGGCTAAAAAAGTAATTAACATGATGATTGAATCAATTTGGCTTCCCTTCTAAAAAAAATCAATTAAGCCTCTTGCTTAAATAATTTTTTTCACTTAAAACTCAAATTCTCCCCTCTAATTGAAAACTAGTCTTTGGTATATTCCTCTTTATAAAATACTCTATATCAAAAGTCTCTTTTTAGTTAATGTTAGATGTACATTCGTTAGAATAGCATATATCTCAATTATTAAACTCACGTAATTTGGTGGAGACTTTACACATGTAACAATTGACATGACTGTTATGACAGTGGACGAACTGTCCACCATCAACTTCACCATTTGCCCATGCCAAAACCTAGCACCTCCTTTTTACTAAAACCTAGCCCCAAGCCTTTGTCCTTCTTCCTTAGAATAAAGAAAATGAAATACCCTCCATTCCATGCCAGAGACCACCCTTCACCTTCCCCCTTCCCACACCAATCAAAAATTACAAACCTTGTCCCTTCCTAACCAAAAATCCAATTACTAGTGAAATTCGGTAATAAGGCCAAGCCTCGCATCTATGTTTCGCTTGTTGCCTATACGTACAATATGGTAATATTGTGTTGCCATATATCCTGTTTATGTTAACTCCTTTTTTTGTGGTAGAAAATTGAACATAATGAATGATAAATTATTTTAATTAAGGTACTTAATTAAAATTTAGTTTTAGTGGAGACTAAATTGCACATTAGTTTTGAATAGTTTTTGATTTACATGTTATAAACAGAATCTTGTTGACATTGTTAAAAAATAATAGATCAATTGATACTGAGTATAAGTGTAAAAAATTTATATCAAATTTTACACCGTTGATTTGATTATAATTAACAGATGAGATTAATTATAGTTGTCTTCCAATAATTTTCAATAATTAATTTGTAGTTAATTAATCTCATCCATTAGTTTTGACCAAATGAACAGTATAAAATTTGATATAAATTTTTTATACTTACATCAATGTCAATTAATATTTGATTTCATTAAATAGTTTCAACTAGTTGAAGAGATTAATTAAAAAATTTTTAGTGGGTGGGCCCATTTGAATAATCCCTTGAGTTTAGGGCTATGACTACGTTTCAACTTGTATCCAACCAACCCGTAGTCCGTTCCCAAGGCGTAAAGTGGAACCCTTAAATCCTATCTACAAACATTCTCTTCCTCAAAGCCCTTGAAACACCCCGGAAAGGCCCTTGGAGCTCATAAAATGGGCTTTTAAAAAGAATTAATGCCTGTTCTTTCTTAAAGTCTGTTTCTAGAATCAAATTACAGAAACTTCTCTGTTAGACTAAAATTTATAGTAGAAATTGAATGAGTTCATCGTATAATAAAATAATTGAATTAATAAAAAAATAAATTAACTGAAAATGAATTTTATGAATGAAATGTCGAAAAAACATTTTTATTCATTTGACATCAAATGACAATATTTTATTTTATTTTATAAATCTTTAAAAGTTATTAAAAAAATTCTTATACAAAGAAAACAAAAAAAAGAATTTATAAAATAAAAAAATTCTTTAACAACACTTGGAAATTCGGTTCACAAAAATTTTGAATTGGAAAGTTGGTTTCAAAAGAATCAGTTTTTCAGTATTAAAATTTGATCATATTTTAATAAATAATCTGAAAAAAAATCACATTTTAAAAATTAATTTTTTTAAAATATATTTTTATAATAAGGGGACCAAATAATTAATGCCCGCGCCCAACCGCCGGCAGACTTCTGTCTGGAAGTGGATTGATTAGAGAAGTTCGAACCAACTTGGTACCTACACATTCGGAGCACGTTTTTCCCGTTCATATGACGGGTCGTTTTCCCATTATTGATATGGTGATTAAATCCAATTAATTAATTATAGCACTTTTAAAATTAGATAATTCGGCCATTAATAATATTCTGCCTTAGCCATTAATTAAGAAATTGACTTAATTTTTTTTCAACGTGTCAAGAGAACGGGAGAAAAAGAGAATTAGCGATTGATTTTTTAATTTTTTAAATGAACCTTTTTAGTATTCAACCCCATGAATTAAGTTTTATATTTATTAAAAAATGGTGTTTATTTTAATTATTTTTCTCAATTTTTTTGAATATTTATCTTTTATTTATAGGTCAATGCGTATAAGAATGAAGCAAAAAAATAAAATATTTTGATAGTTTACAATTAATACGAATATATCTTTTTTTTCGTTTATGTAGCTTTTCAACTATTTTCTAATATTATGTTTTTAAAACAAGAAATAATTTTCTTTTTATCTTTTTACAAAAACCAAAAAATTCTGATTCCCCGCAAGAGTAACTGTTTTGCAAGTTTAATAGAATAGTTCTGTTTTGTTTTTTATTGTCCTAGCAATTTTTTTAGTTCCATACGGTTAAG